TACTAACTGTGTTGTTAACTAACGAAAATTAATCAACAGTTAGTGAGATGAACTTATTTGACTTAAAATAAAAATTTAAGAATTTATTTGAACATAATAAAAAAAATGGGGCTAAATTGATTTTTTCCATATAATTTAAAAACTTATTTAGATATTTAGCTGAAACTATATAAATGTATCATCAAACATCATATTCAAATGTAGCATACATCAAATATCATAATATAATTAGGTTTGGATAACAAGTATCTTAAAGGTGATACTTGAGACAAGTATTTAAAACTTTACTCGAATTTGTCCCACAATTAAATAGAAAGTACCCGAACTCTATGTTATCAATTCTAGTATCTACAAATACCCCATATAACGTCAACCCATTTACACCCCTGTTAGAACTTTGACTGAACTACTATTTCTTTAAGCAAAAGCTTTCTCTAATTACTTAGGCCAACAAACATCTAGCTATTTTATTAAATGAAGTCATACGGTTCAATTCAAAAGTATTTATTAAGATTAACGAACTTTGTATTTAAAAACTGATTTTGTTCCTAAGTTTTAATACACTTTTTACATCAAATTGAAGAACAAACAATGCAATAATTGTAAAACTTTTTTCATAAATATCACTTTAATCAGTGACTACAACATTTCCCAAAGTTATAATCCTTTATTGGGAAATGCCACTGATCCCAAGATATAAAATACTCAAAACGTCTAGCCAACTTTTATCGATTAGGCATGAAATAAAAGGATCGAAGGGCCAACCAATATTGAAGTTCGAATTCAATTCTTACTCTATTCTTTTATCAATGTAGAATATATAGATCAACATATCATATATGATAAATACTTCTTATAAATATTTTTATTTGTAAAAGAAGCAAATAGACGCTCTTTTCGTTCACAAAAGGACATGCATGAGAAGTTTAGCTGTGATCATCATCTCAATAAGGACAAAAAGATAAGCATTATAAATGGTGACCAATTTTGTACTTTATGAAAACTCTGAAACCCAAAAATTAAAATTAATAAACAATCTGTCAACTTTAGCTATTAAAATCTAAATTAATTCATTAACATCACTCAGTTACGTATTTGATTGAAACCATCTATAATTCCCACTTCTGTTTTGTTTTTTTTTCTTCTTTTACTTGGATCCATCATTTCTTTTTTGACGGATTATTGCACAAATTATTCTGTGGGTCAGTATCTCCATTAGAGTTAATCTAATGAGTCAGCTAAACGAAATAGCTAACGTGGCCGTCTCCCAGAGATGACCGTATCCCCATTTAACAAAACAATGTGAAAATTCATCATTCAGCTTAATATAGCTTACATAAATTACGTTAAAAAATTAAGAAAAATCATAACCATCCTTTCTTTTTCTTATCTTGTAATCATGCTTTTAACGTAAGAGTTATATTCATACATGGTGATATGGGCATCACACGAAATGTCAAACCATATATTTTATGGTTCTTTTTTTGTGTATAAGAATTTGGGGTAAATTATAAGTAAGCTGCTTCTTCCACTAAATTAAGACAAGGTGTATCGAATTTTGTATTTGAAATTAATATTAACAAGAAAAGATGATAAGATACTTTGAATATAAAATTATTTATTGTCGAAATGAACCATCTTATTAATTCATACGACAAAGATGTTACGATATAAATAAATTAATTAGTGGATTGGCACCAACTTGGCTTTCACACAAAAAGAAAGCGAGTGTTAGTCGTATGCTTTTAATTCAAGAAACATACCAAAAGTGAAAATAACTTAAACCTGCTAGAGTGGTGATGAGAGAGAGAGAGAGAGAGCTAGGTTTGCAATTAATATATGTTCCAAATATAACCCATCTAGGTTTTTGCTTGAACTTGGAAATGTCGGATTGCGAGAAGGAAACATTTTGAAATGCTCAAAGAGTGATGGGACATGTACACATGCGTGGGAGGTAGGGTCATATCATTTGTACATGTAGCACTAATAGTATCTTCAATTTTCTTTTCTGAAACTGACAAAACATTGACGGGGTAGACAATTCTCGAATTAATTTATCAATGTCCATATATATATAATATAAAACAAGGGAAGGGAATCTAATATAAGAAGAGAATTGCAAATCGGCTTGTTCTTTAATATAGTTTTTGAAGAGCTAAGGAATTAATCAGACTTGTTCTTTGTTGTGGAGCCAATATCCCAAATGCCCAATACTAAGTGAAAAATTCATCAAATTGAGGAATCAATTATGAGATCTAATGTTAAAATCTCAGCCATTCATTTGCCATTTCAACTCCTTTTAATTGAGTCCATATTTAGGAACTAGCATTTGAAGGGTTTCCCAATCATATATTTTCCTTTCTTTAATAATGACAGTTAGACTATTCTTTAGATGTAAAATCTCTACTACTTGTCCAATGCGAATGGGAGAAATTATTGCATGAACTTTGTTTATCAAGTTATGGGTCCAACAAATCATGTATGATACCATTTTTTAATATAAATTTCTCTAATATAGTACTTAGTATTTATCTTTTTTTTATATCAAAATTTGAGTTACACATAGTTGGAATAATTCTTTTTATTATATAAATTTAGCATAATTATTCAAAAGAAGTCAAATAAATTCTTATTCTTTTATTATGATCAATCGAATTTTTATATTTTTATTTTAGATCAAATAAATATTATTATTCAAAATGTTATTTTTTATTTCATATCACATGATATTAATGTAGTATGCTAACATGACCGCATGGCAGTTGTGCCTTACATGTTAACATCACATGCCATAAAAATGGTAAATTACGTTTTTATTAATGGTAATTAATAAAGTATTAGTTTAAGAACTTATTTGATCTAAAATATAAATATTTGATTAAACTTAATAAATAATTAAAAAAATTAAATTTTAAATTGTTCAATGATTTGTTAAAATAATATATCTATAAAATTTATTTTGTTTATTTTAAAATTTGAAATTGATAATTAGAAAAACAAAAGGGCTGAAATTCTAGCAATTGACTGTGGTGAGGAAGAGAATAAATCAATGCTTGAATCTTGACAATTAATATTCATCCAATAAAATATAGTAATATTTATTTCAGTGAGCAGAATTTTATGTCGATCAGGTGCAATTCCCAGTTCCGAGGCTGAGGCAGAGCCCTCACAGTCCCAGTCAAAAAAACAAACTCACCTGATCAGAGGATACCAAACAATGGCCGGGACCCATTTTACAACTTAACCTCAAACCAGTTAAGGGTACCGCCAGGCTTGACCCTATCACATGTGGGCTGGGTGGGCTCAATCCTCCTACCTCTAGCCAGCTTATCACACTCCGAAGTACGACCCCCCTGCACTCCCCATCTTCAACCCTGTCTCATCATACCAACTCCAATAGGCCAATACTCAGCATCTTCGCTTCGGCTTCGCTACCAGACATTTCCCTTTTTTTCAATTCAAAACTGCAAATCAGCTCAACGAGACTTCATTTATTTTTCTTTAAAATTAAAAATAAAATGAAATTTAAATGACATGACTTTTAAAAATGTTTTAAATTATTTTTAAAAATTTAAATAAATTCTTATTTTTTATTATGCTTATTAAATTTTTATTTTAAATTAAATAAATTTTTATAACTAATATTTAATTAATTGGTATTAACTTAAATTCCATTTGTTATTTGTTTATTTTTAAATATTTTAAGTCTTTTCTGCACTGTTAGACGAGATTTACTGGACATAATTTTACTCATGCTCGTTTTTCTTTTTTTTTAAATATAGAATTATTGCTTTACCCGTGTTGGTACCTGGCAGAGTGAAATCTTCTGGCATCTTTCACTCCTGTGCACGTCACATCAGATACGTACACTTCGTAGGGGGGAGCTGTTGCGTGAACCAAACGCGGCAAGCGCGCGTGTTTGACCATTTTTATCGGATACGTTCGAAGATTGAATAGGGTTGGATAGGGCCCCACTCTGGAATAGTCTAGAATAACTTGGATGTCTTGGTTTCGCGATTGAGTTGCACCTGACGCGCTCTGACCACACGCGGGTCAATTCCTGGGTGCTAATTAGAGCATAATTATACAACCAACGTGGACAGGGCTTAGTTTACTGTGGATCCTTTGTCCTATACAACAGAAATGTTTTGCTATTCTAATGCAAAGAAGTTAATAAATTTTGTCTCATTCTTCTGCCTACTTCACCTCAATGTACTTACTTTATAAATTTTTTTTTTCACAATTCAAAAAAGAGATTTAAAATTTATTTTTTAAATAAAAAGATAATATATTAATTAATAAATTAAATATTTGAGTGTATATTTACTTTATGATTGATTTTTATATAATAGCAAAACGGAGATTATATTATTTATTCTAGACTTTAAATTCATATGTCATAAAATTAATATACATTATGATGAAAGGCAACAATGGACAAAAGAAAGAAAAAAATGGACTAGTGACTTGTTCTTTTAATTTTTGCATAAGAAAGCATGAGTTTCTTTCTTTTTTTATTTTTTTAATTAATGAAAAAAAGATATGGTTTTGTTGGATTTGAACGGTGTGAAGAAGTTGATGTTGTTAGTGAGTACAATTAGTTATTAATTAATTAATAAATTATAGATTAAGGAGGCCGGCTAGAGTGGACTAAAGCAAAAGAGAAAAAAGAAAATTGGCAGTTGTGGAAGCACGTCTTGTAGAAAAACTTGATGGCATGGACTTGGGCACTTGTAACAAATTGCGCCGTGGAAGTCGAGTCATAGACAGCTCCATATAACTCCATTCCAGCCCTTCATCTCTATCCAAACAAGTCATACCCAAGAGGGGGCTGAGTAGTGACTAGTATCCTTGTGTTCATTGAATGGAAGATTGTCGTTAATCCATCACTTTCAGAAACAAAAACTCATCAGCTCAAGACCTTTTTGCAACCCAAAAAAGAGAAAATATCACATTTTCAAGCTCCTCTCAGGCCTCTTTCAGTGGTGTTCGTGGGCGCGTAAACGAGGGCATCAGTTGTAGGCAGGCCAGGAGCATGTCAAAAGCCAACAGCTGGCGCAAGTGGACAGTGCCCCGTGGACCAATTTGCTCAAGAAATTAACACAAATATCGTGAACGTTTGTTCCTGCTTTTCTTTTCTTCCCCTCCAGTCCTTGATTGCTCCTTGACTCCCCAAACCTTTCACAGGCCCAACAAAAATTAAATTTTATACAGCCACATACCCAAGATAGAAACCGTGGCTTCCGTGTGAAATCCTACTCGCACAAAATCAGAAACAGCTCTCTCTCTCTCTCTCTCTCTCCTTTTATAGTGAGCCCAAATAAAGCAAGAACCCGTCAAAGGCACCAGAAAAGATTGAGAGAATTAGAGACCCCGGAAGATGAGAATCAACAACTAGCAGCAGCCGAAAATCAAGCTCATCTGAAAAAGAAAAATCTGACCCTTCTTCTTGGTAGATATTATTATATCTTTCGTTGAGCCTTTCTTGATTTGTTTGCCGTGTTTTTCACCAGGGTCGGCCTTGCCAGCCATCACCACAAAAAATCCCTGGTTCTTGAGCCTCCACTTCTCTCCCTGTCTTGTAAACAAGATCCTTGAGCAAGGAATAGGAAACCAGACCAACCATCACTTTCATATCAGTTTCTCTTCCTTGTTCAGGATCGTTGAGAAAAAGAACCTGATCATCAACAAAAGGGGTAAAACCTTGGTAAAAAAACACGAAAGGAAAGGGGTTGGTTTTCCGTTTTCCAAGGTTCAGATTGTTCTGTTCTTTCAGGCAGGAAAAACAGCAGTTAGTCAAACTTTTCCTTCCTGATATTCCAGCATCATAAGGTTGAAACGCAAAAAGTTGCTCCTTCATTGTTTATCATTATTTTCACCGACCCTTTTAACACCCAAACCGTTTCGTTTTGTTTCTTTTGTAGCATTCCCATTGTTGCCAAAAGGAAAACAAAACCGTCACCGAAACTGACCACAGCAAAATCGAAACAGCATCAAAACATTTCCAGCTTTTTCTTTTATTAAACAATGTCTCGCCAGATAATCCTTAGGGCCCCAACCTCCGTCCACCGGCGGCAGCCGCTGTTGCAAAGCCGTTCCTCCTCCTCGTCCTGTTCCTCAAGCGTCGATGATGGCGGTAGCAGCACAAGGAGAACTTCTCAGAAAAGTGCCAAGTTCGGGGAGTTTTGTGGGGAAACAACAGCTGAGTGTGCGGCTATTTGTTGCTGTTGCCCTTGTGGGATAGCGAACCTTTTGGTTTTAGCAATTTACAAGGTTCCTGCAGGGCTATGTCGCCGTGCTCTCCGCCAGAAACGGAGGCGGAAGTTGCTGAAAAAGGGGTTGCTTCAGCCGAGGACCCACCGGGGTCATTGTGGGTGCGATGATAGTGAGTTGCATGTTCACCCTGTAGTTTGTCTTGAGGATTTTTTCCCAGATGTGGAGGTTTCTGAAGAGGCTGAGAAAGCTGTGGTGGAACTGGAAAAAGAGATGTGGCAAAGATTTTATGGTACTGGGTTTTGGAGAAGTCCTTCTCAGAGAGAAGGAGAGTCACCCAGAATTAAACAGCTGTAAAAGAAAATTCTATCTTTGCTGCTTGTTACTTGTTATTGTAAATCTGGGTGAATATATGATTCTTATCCAAAATGCTGTACTCCATTTTTTGTCATAAATGGGGAATGATGTGGTGGTGGGATTTTCTATTGCTGGTCATCAATGAAACTAAAATGCAAGAATTTGATGTCATGAACATGGAGATCTTTCTAATTAAATGGTGTTCTATATAATCAAGCTGATGTAGAATGGAGAAAATCTGGAAATGCATGTAAATGAGATTGGGATTGTTGACTAATGCTGCTTGTTTTCGTTTTCTTGGAGAAATCAACACATTTTATGGGCTTTATGGATAATACAATCAATATATTAAGATTGACTTGAAGGTGCTTTTTTTGATATTATTTTCAAAAGTAAGATTGTGTTCATACTAGTTAGTACTAAACTGTTTGTTTTTATGTGTGGATTATGCTTGAATATTGATGATACCATTTCCAAGGGAAGTGACAAAGGCTTGGAAAATGGCTTTTGATATCTTGGTATAGAATGTGAGAGAATAAACAGAAAGTTGGGAGAAATTACAAAGTTGGAAGATTACAAACATTGTGTTTTGAATATTGATATCTGCTTTGGAAGCCATCCATTTTTCTATCATTCAACTTTTGTGCTGGAATTTTCTACCTGACCTTCAATCCTTGCTTCTGCGGTTCAATACTTTAACATTAAAACTCTCTGTTCCAGAATCTGCTTCAACGCTTTTACTATCTGCCACCGGGATTTGTCCCTGCTGCTGTCTTTGATTTTTTCCATGAGTTGGCAAAGCATTTTGTACTGGATATCTTGGTCGAGGATAAAATAAAGTTTACATGGAACAAATTAGTTCATGATTACTGAAGCTTTTTCTGTAGCAAAATTCGACAGTAGTTTACATCCGACTTCACATATTTTACATATAATGAATGATGGTTAAGTTGATAGCCTTACCACGACATTGGGACCCTTTGTCTGGGGCATGATTTCAGTGTCTACTTCAGAATTGAACAAGAAATGATTGTAGAATTGCCCTGGGGCTTTCTTTTGGACATGAAGCTAGCAATGCTCTGTCTTCATGCTTTAGAGCAGCAGCCACATCTTTTGCATACTAATCCAAGGGAAAAGAAAATTGTAAATTTTGGATTTTCTTCGCCTTCAATAAATCATCGGTCAACTTAACAAGCAGATCTGCCCCAAATATCATACTCATTATATATGTATATTAGAATTAATGTCAGCACTATAGGAGGTGCTCATGTGAGAGCATTACATTGTCTACACTCCATTTTTCACGTAAATTTGCATTGTTGTCTCCAAAATTTGTTTCAAATTATCATTTTTGTTTTCACTGTGTATTTTTCCTTAACATTTTTAATTTGTATTAAAAAATTCATTCCATCAATTTAACCGTTAATTCTTTTTATCCTTTTGTCACTAGTCAATTTTTGAGATATATGTCTATATATATATATATATATACATAGAAGATTGAAGAATCCATTAGCGTGGATTTTTTAGTTCAAGCGGTGTCCAACATGTACATATGAGCTCCTTCAGTGTACTGTCGATAAGCTCGAGGCTTGATTTATCTCTCCATCGAAAGGCTTCACTGAAGCGCAGCGAGTATGGTGAAATGGGATTTTGAAAAACGCAAGAAGACATGCGGTTGAGTGTTGGGCCTCAAAAGTGGTGTATTGAGACAAATCTAGACGCACAAGAGATGCAAGGTTAAGTGGTGGGCCCAAGGCGTGTTGCGAGCTAAGAATGAATGCAGCAGTTGACGCATGGGGGAGCTAAGCGCAACTCACAAGTGAACGAGTGAGACTTGTTGAGGTTTACGTGTAAACGTGATGTCTCACATCATTAGAAATGCCATGTAAAGGTGACATGCACACAAAAGATCTAAGAACACGTTAAGTAAGGTTTTTGCATTCAAATGGTGTCTAACGTGTATGTATGCCCTTTTGCCTATGCTCCTCGTGGCTAATCTCCTAAACAAACATATTTGTTGAGTTTTATATACGAGTAAAATATCCCACATTAATACAAAGTGGATTTTAAACATAGCATACATACATGGAAGATCTAAGAACCCATTGACTTAGATTTTTGGGTTAAAGTGGTCTCCAACATGTATACAAGGACTGGTTTGGTTTGCCTCCTTCAGGCTCAAGCTTTGGCTTATCTCCTTAAGAAATTATTATAAGAGCCAAAGGTTCTGCTTAGATGCGGCAAGTATGATGATGCAATGTTTTTGAAAGACCTAAAAGGGTGGTGCATTGAGACAACCTACAATTGAGTGCTTGGCCTAAGAAAGTGATGCATTGAAGCAACTTGGACGTATAAGAGACATATTGTATGAAATCTCACCTTGATGTATAATGTTAAATTAAGAGATCTTTAAGTGAGTATGTGTGTTTCATGTTTTAAACATTTAAATTAAGATTTAAGTTAGAAAAAAAAAATTCATGTTTTGATGCATAAAGATGATTTACAAAGTTTGATGTAAAAAAGAGTTTGAATGGATAAGTTTTTAAGTTTATCTTTGATTATTGGAACTTATTATAGATGTTCTTTATTTATAGATGGATACAACCTATAAAGGTTTTTAAAAGGAAACTAAAGAACATCTATCGATAGATGTTTATTATCTATTGATAGATAGGCTAATTTATCGATACATGTGTCCATCTATCGATAGACAACAATCCGAGAGCTTTTTTAAAAGAACTATAAAAATCATCTATCGATAGATGGTCCCATTTATCGATAAATGACATTGTTTTCAAAAAAATAAAATGGGTAAAAACATATTTGCACATCCTAAACTATAACTAGGTCACATTTTACCAGGGTTGGTGACCTTCAGTCATTTTTGTAAGATATTCTCTCAACCCTAAACCCTCTTAAACCCATTTTCAACTTAAATCACCAGTTTCAAAGATTCGAAAGCTTGGTTTTAAGTTTTTATAAACAAGATAGCATTTTTCAACTTTGAACTCTTTAAATCTTGATTTTCCAAAACTAAAAACAATGTTTATGTGTCTAGATTTTCTTGTGGATTAGTGTTTCTCAAAGTTATACAGGAGTATATTATTTAGGTTACTTGTGCGTTAAGTTAGGTTATGTTAAGCTATCTCTTACTTTACTTATACTCTAAGGAAGTTTAGGATAGGTTACTTCTTTATTTATTTTCATTTAAGAATTGTAATAATCTCACATGGGAAAAGTAAGAAGGCTCTCTTTTTTAGGAATAGTTATATAAAGCCTTCTTTGGTTAATTGTTAAGTATTTTGAAGCTGAGAATTAATAAAGAATATTTTCGTTAATAAGTAAAAGTGTTTATTTTTTCTAAGCTTTTTTCAAAAGAGTAAAATATTTTAGTATCTTTGGTTTGACCAACCAAAGTGGAATTTTGACCTTTATTCACATTAGGAGGGTTTTTTAACCTTGCCAACATTAGTGTTCACCTTAGTGAGGTTTCTAACCTCACAACGATTGGTGTCTTCACAACGCCTAGGTGTCAATTTGGTATCATAATAGGAGGATCATTGTTTGTTGCATAGTTTGGGTTTGCTACTGGGTTCAACTCTCCTTGTTCGAGTAATTTTGTTTGCTTATTGTTTTATAGTTTTGTCATCATTGTTTTCCCCATCACCACATCGTTATCACCACGTCATTGCCATATCGCCACTGCCATAATTTTTGTCCTTATTTGAGCTAATGAAACATTGCCAAGGTCCCAAAATCGTCAAAGAGATGTTCACGAGATCGAGGTAGAGGAATTACGTTGCCAAGTTCAAAAATTACAAGAGTAATTCGCAAGATGTGATGTTACTTAAATTAACAATAGTAGCTTCAGTGATAAAGAGGATAATACCAATCCTTTTCATCAAGAATCATTTTTTTGATAAAGAAGTACCTATATGTCATCTAAGAATTATTGCTAATAAAGATTTGGGAATTAAGGTAGACATTTCTGAGTTTTAAAAAATGCTTCACCTTGATGATTTTCTTGACTAGTTCTACATAGTGGAAAGAGTTTTCGAGCTCAAAATGTTCTAGATGAAAAATGTGTGAAGCTTGTTGCAATTAATTTGAAAAGGCATGCCTCTATCTGGTGAGAAAATCTCAAATGATAACAAGAAAAAGAAGGTCGTAACAAGGTTAGAACATGGTATAAGATATGTTGAGAACTTGAGCATAAGTTCTTTTCTAAGCACTACTGACAAGAAATTTTTATTAAATTTCATAACTTGAGATAGAGAACAATGCCAGTAGAAAAATATAAAATGGAGTTTGAGCAACTTCATATGAATTGTAATGTCCAGGAACTTGAAGAGCAAATTGTAGCTTATTATGTTATAGGTCTTAATGTTGAAATTGTAGATGCTGTTCAACTACAACCATATTGAAACTTAAATGATGTCATCAAATTAGCATTAAAGATTAAGAAACAATGATCATGGAAAAGCTTAATGAGTTCATCTAGACAAAAAAATTCTACCTCAAACCGTGAGAGATAAAGTTTGGTAACCTTTTTGACTCCAAAGATAAACTTTTCGAAAACAAAAATCAATAATGATAAATAAACTACTTCTACTTGTGCTTTTAATGTCAACAAGAAGTGCTTCAAATGTCAAGGATTTGGGCTTATTCCTTTTGATTGTTCCAATCAAAGAATTATCTCCCTATTAGAAGAAGAAGTTAGGGAAGAACTTATCATGAAAAAAATAGAGGGTGAACTAGAAATATTTAATAAAGATGAGATAGAAAAAGTTCTTGTTGACCATGGAGAAACTTTTGTTGTTCACTGTAACCTCAACATTGCTTTGATGACTGAAAATGAAAGATGGCTTTGCCACAACATCTTTTATACAAGGTGCATATCCCAAGGGAAGGTTTGCAATGTCATTTTTGATAGTGGAAGTTGTGAGAACATTGTTGCTAACTACATAGTGGAAAAGTTGAAGCTTCCAATTAAGGCACACCTTTATCCTTACAAGTTACACTAGTTGAGAAAAGGAAATGAAGTTAAGGTAATAAAACATTGTTATGTTCAATTCTATATTGGAAATAAGTATCAAGATGAAGGTTGGTGTGATGTTATCTCAATGGACACATGCCATCTATTGTTGGGATGCCCATGGCAATATGATCGTCAAGCTCACCATGACAGAGACAAGAATACTTATTGCTTCATCAAAGACGAAGTAAAAATTATGTTCACTCTACTAAAGCTTGAAGACTGACCAAAGAGACAAGAGGAAGATAAAAAAACTCATCTCTATGTTTGGCCTAAATAAGGCTTATCATGAGTCAAGCTTCTTATATCTTTTATTAGTTTGTGAAGAGAATGAAGTATTTTCATCTTTACCCA